TAGAAGAGAATAAGGTTTAAGTGGGGATATAGAATGGTAACTCCCATGTTAAAAAAAAAATTATATATGTGGCGCCTCTATAGGTTTGGGTCAAAGTAAAATGATTTTGGCGGGATATTTGAATTTGAAACTTTGTTTATGGATGACCTGGCTTGTCTATGGATGGCCGGCTTAAAAAACGCACCCATAATTATGTCAGTTGACGCGGAAAGAAGTTTTTCCGTATATAAATATATGCGTCTGATAGAAGAGAAATTTTTGCTAGAAAATATTCAGGAATATTTAATTGTTTATTGTTTTTACAACTGTTAATTTAGATTTTTTATAAATCATCAACAATACAACAGTGTTTATTATTTCAAATTTCTTTATGCATATTTACAAACATACTTGCATATTTTGAATAAAATATATGCATATCTATGCGCATATTTCTTATACTTTTATATGCATATTTACCCTTCTCTAGTGATAAGCCTTTTGGAATTATCGCGCTTGGTGGCAATATTGTTCATTTGTTATTAATAATAATAAAAATTAAAGTTATTGAAGTTTATTTCGTTGTATAACCTTTTGAATACCACTCGATGTTTCAGGATTACCTAATACTTTTACCTGACACTCAATGCGTTACCAGCAACACCAACGCGGTTCGTGACAGGTAAAAGTATTATCCGGTAATCCTAAAACCTCTCGTGGTATTACATTCGACAATAAATTCGGTATTCAGCTGCCAATATTGCTACCTGGACAATACCAACAACATGGTATTTCAGCGACCATTTTTTGACATTGTCAAACTGATATTTTCAATTTGAAGTTTTTATTCATATTTTTGCATTCTATTTATTCTCAAAATCTTACGTGAAATAGTCATATATAATATATAACAAGAGAAAAAAATTGGTCGGCAAAATTTCCGAAAGGTATGAAAGTTTGTTGCTTGGCAATGCCGAAAAGCAACACTTGAATAAGACCTTGAGAACAATTTTGCCTACACAATTTTTTCTCGAGTGGTATTCGTCATTACTATCACTAGAGTGTATGACACCGGCAATAAATTCGGTATTCAGCTGACAATATTCCTACCTGGACAATACCAACAACATGGTATTTCAGCGACCATTTTTTGACATTGTCAAACTGATATTTTTAATTTGAAGTTTTTATTCATATTTTCGCATTCTATTTATTTCTAAAATCTTACGTGAAATAGTCATGGCGAATACCACTCGAGAAAAAATTGTGTAGGCAAAATTGTTCTCAAAGTTTTATTCAAAAGGTTATACAACGAACTAAACTTTAATACACCAAGCGCGATAATCCCAAAAGGCTTATCACTTATTAAACCTGTCGTGTCATGTGGCAATAATGTACAGTGAGTTGTATAATCGAATGTGATACCACAAGAGGTTTCAGGATTATCATATAATACTTTTACCTGTCACGAAACGCATTACGCAGCAAAACCACGACTCTGAAGGAGGAGTGGTGTTGCTGGTAACGTGTTGAATGTTAGGTTAAAGTATTAGGTAATCCTGAAACATCGAGTGGTATTCAAAAATCAAAAGGTTATACAACGAACTAAACTTCAATATTTTTTTAATTTTTATTATTATTAATAACAAATGAACAATATTGCCACCAAGCGCGATAATCCCAAAAGGCTTATCACTAGAGAAGGGCAAATATGCATATAAAAGTATAAGAATTATGCGCATAGATATGCATATATTTTATTCAAAATATGCAAGTATTTTTGAAAATATGCATAAAGAAATTTGAAATATTAAACACTGTTGTATTGTTGATGATTTATAAAAAATCCAAACTAACAGTTGTTAAAACAATAAAAAATTAAATATTTCTAAATATTTTCTAGCAAAAATTTCTGTCTTCTATCAGAATGCGTATATTTATGTACGGAAAAACTTCTTTCCGCGTCAACTGACATAATTATGGGTGCGTTTTTTAAGACGGCCACGATTTTAGGATCTAAATCTAAATTAATAGATTCATCAAAATTTCCCATTAAAATTTCTACTACTTTGAAAATAAACTGGTAACTGTTATTTTTTGCTAAAACAATTTCGAATTTTTCAGAAACCTCTTTCCCAAAAACAAAATCACAACTTCAAATAAATATGAACATCTTCAAAAATCGATAGTGTAAATATTTATTGCTCTACTTCCAGGCTAGTAGGTCCCAAATTATAGGTAATCAGGTTGAACAGTGGTGTAATTCCCATAACAAGGCTCAGTGAAGGATCTTTCACGGTAGGTTTTCCGGTAATAGCGTACCTGCTGAATAGTTGAATATGTAAAAATTCTTCCCTTCATTGACGCCTTTTGTCTAAATTTGATACATTTTATGCACTATATGCCGGTTTTCAAAGAAATATGCAGAATTAAATTAAAATGCATAAAACATGCAAATTATGCAATACATGCTTTTTGCATACCGGGTGCCCACGAGATTACTTTCCGGCTGCCATTTTTTTATTTGTTCATTGATATCAACGAAACTTGGTAGGCTTGAAATTCTAATGAAATGCCATTTTTGTGCTTTCACGACAAGTTTTCCTGACTTCCGGTTTCTCCGGAAATTACCGAAACTTTCGATTTTCAAATGGCACACTCTGTATATTTTTTGTTTTTTGGATTCTACAGATCGTTTTACGTCCTAATGTACCACTTTTAAATCGAACTTTGTCCAAATTTCGTTTTCAAATTAAATTTCAATTAGAAAAAAAAATAATAAAATACATAATAAAACAAAAATATTTGAACGAAAATTAAGAAAAATGTCGTAGTGTATTATATTGTTGGATTCGCTTCAAAATACTGCATTTAGTAATGTTAATAAAGTGATATGTTCCTATTCTAGTTTTTGAGCTAGGGCAAAAATACTAAAATAATGAAGTTTACAAAGATAAAATTCAGTTTGTATTTTTCTGAAATTAAGTAAAGTATGCAGTCATTTTAAGATGATCATGGCACTCTAGTTAAAAAATTAAAATTTAATTTAAAAACAAAATTTGGACAAAACTTGCTTCAAAAGTGGTGCATTAGGACGTAAAACGATCTGTACAATCCAAAAAACAGAAAATCTACAGGGTGTGCCATTTAGAAATTAAAAGTTCCGGTCATTTCCGGTGAAACCGGAAGTCAAGAAAACTTGTCAATAATGCATAAAAATGGCGTTTGGTTAGAATATCAACCCTACCAAGTTTTGTTGATATCGATAGACAAATCAAAAAATGGGAGCCGTAAAGTGATCTCGTGGACACCCGGTATATGCCCCTCTCTACTTTTCACTTATTAAGCTTTTTCTACTCGCTTGTATAAAAAATAGATGAAACAAATTTTTTTCTATACAGGGTGTCCCAGCCGAGAGTGACCCATTTTAAATGCTTATAACTTTTAATCCAGGTGAGCCAGCTACCTACAGTTTGTGCCATTCGATTTCTCTTGGTCTAAAGTTTTTTCTAGTAGGTTTCAATTTTTTGAAAAACTTATACAGGGCGAGTCAAAAAAAAACTGTTTTTCATCATCGAAATTCTCCACTAGTTTTAATGGAACACCCTGTATATCGCAACGTCAAAAAATAGATTCATGTTTAAGGTATCCATGTACCAATAGACATCGTCTCTAAAACTTAAAGTTTTAGCTGTAAAAAATCAAATTCGAAATCTTGGTATTTTTGCAAACACATCATATATTATATCACAAGAGCTTCAAATTTAATTGATTAAACTATTCAACATATTTTGAGCACAATTTTGCTTGGAAAATAGTTTAATGAACAATAACTTAATAAAAGACCGAGACCGCGAAGCGGTCGAGGGATTTTATTTGAAAGTTATTGTGCATGAAACTATTTGCCAAAAAGCAAAATTATGCAAAACATATTTGGATAGTTTAATCCATTTAAATTTATAGGTCGAGTGGTATACGGCTAGATTATTTCCTGAATAATTAGGATTGAATTGTTGGCGTCAATCCTATCCAAGGAGTTCTATTTATTATAAAATTCCAGAATATTTCTATCAAAATTCTGTCAAAAAAGGTAAACAAAAATTTAATCATATATTATATCACAAGACCTTCAAATTTAATCGATTAAACTATGCAACATATTTTGAGCATGATTTTGCTTGGAAAATAGTTGAATGCACAATAACTTAATAAAAGCTCGAGACCGCGAAGCGGTCGAGGGCTTTTATTTAAAAGTTATTGTGCATGAAACTATTTGCCAAAAAGCAAAGTTGTGCGAAAAATATTTGGATAGTTTAATCCATTTAAATTTCTAGGTCGAGTGATACGGCTAGATTATTTCCTGAATAATTATTAGGCAGCAACAAACAAAAAGTTCTATTTTTTATTATAAAATGTCAGAATATTTCTATCAAAATTCTGTCAAAAAAGGTAAACAAAAATTTAATCGCTGATAAACAGGTCTTGTGAAATAATCACTTATTTAAACAAAATTTATTCAAAAAATGACGTTGTCTGATTGGTCCATTTTATAATGAATGAAATAATCGCTGATAAACAAGGTCTTGTGATATAATCACTTATTTAAACAAAATTCATTCAAAAAATGACGTTGTCTGATTGGTCTATTTTATAATCAATGAAATAATCACTGATAATTGTGGTATGCTGCTCTGCTATACCTACTTTATTCAGGATAAATTGAACTAAATAGATACACCTAGAGGATGAGGGCGTCTCTAGCAAGGTACTATACGGATATTTGACAACATTAGATATTATGACATCGAGTAACATATTCAAATGGTGCAAACAAAAATTCAAAAATACCTAGTTGTATTACTATGATAACCAACTAGGTTTAATATTATCGTCTGGATATTCACTATCCAATAAAACAAATATTTGTTTACCCGATTAAAATTCTGCATTTGAACCGAACCGAACCGATAGGTTAAATTAAGAATCTACAGCCATAGTTCAATAATACTAATATTACCTACCATTATTCTTGTTTTGCCTTAATATACATGATTGTGCTCTATAACCAACTTGACACAAGAAAAAGCACAAAAACTCAAAAAAAACTTGACCAGATCTATGTAGGATATAGATTTTCAAACTCAGATTGAACTGATTAAAGACATTACAATGTTTAGTTTATACAAATAATTAAATGTAGCGCGAATTGGAACTGCGTAACTTGTGGCTGTTTTATATTGCACGTCAAAAACAAAGCTCAAATAAATGTTTCCACATATCAGATTTGCCAGGTCCGTACCAAATTGAATGTGGGATTGGATCAATTAGGTCAATGAATATCTACGTTGAGCTTAAACTATAGGCTTCTATTCGATTATTTGAAGCAATAGATTCAACTAAGGTTTGGTAAGCTTGTAAGCAACATCAATTAATTTTGTTTTTTTTTTATTCTGGAAACTTTTAGTATACCTACATTTTTACTCTAAGGTGTTGCATTAAATCTGAAAATAGCTTGGATTACTAAACTTGTGAAACTCCACACATAACAATCTCCATATAGGGGAGGGTGGGCCACGTTGAGACAGTTTTCACTTTTTTGGGGATAAAATTGGTAATTTTAATTTTTTCGTTGCAGTTTCGTGAGCCTCATAATCTTTCATCTTATTGCACACATTTTTTGAATAAATTATTAACACAATATTCTTTATTTTATTTTATAGAGGAATCTAAAAAGATCTGATTTTGTCTCAAGGTAGCTTATGAGGTGGACCACTTTGAGACATACATAAAAAATAAGAAATAAGGAGAAAAATATGAGGTTTATTCAAAAATAATACATCGTAACGAGGGCGGTAATGTAACTTTTCTTCATTATTTAGTGTTTTTTCAACATATTTTGCAAATGTTTGATGTTTTACGTTGTTTTTCTCTGCTGCATTCCTTAAAAGCTTAATTTATGTTTAATCACATCTTCGACTGCCCTTTTTATCGATTCGGCACTAAGCAGGCCTTTTTAAGATTTTCTTTTGCGTCCCCGTGACATGTTTTGAACAAAATATTTTTTCTCAACATTTGAACCACCTCTCAAGGTGGCTCAAACTTCGTGTCTCATTGTAGCCCATGGTAGGTCTGAGTTACAAACCGCAATATTTTGGTAAAACGTGAAAAAGTCGACTCGTAATATACATAAACAATGAAATTAACATCCACCTGTTGTGTTGGAAACCTCAGAACAAAATAAAGATATATTGGGAACGACTGATGAAGTACTGAACTCTGAACTTTCAGCAAAAGAAATTTCACTATGACGAAAACAAATCGAAACCGGAAAAAAAAATCGGGGGCGCACGTGCAGCTTCTGTGGCAGCAGAAATAAGACTAACATGTTTAATACTGGATGTACTGTGAAATGGAGACAAATAGCCCACGTTATTAAAAAATAATGGCGACTGTCTCATGGTAAACGCGTCTCATGGTGGCCCACCCTCCCCTACCTACCTTCCTACCGGTTATTTATGCCAGCTATAAATGTTAACTGTTTTGGAGATATTTCGTTACTAAGCATAAGTACTTTCAATGCGGCTCATCTTAAATGATTTTATTGTCAAACTCCATCAGTAACTAAGGGCACGCAGATGCGGGGGAGCCTCGCGGGGCCCATGGCCTGGCGACAAGAAAGTGCTCAACTGAAAGAAAATACTTTAACCTATGAACCTCGTGATATATACCCTACCATTGAAAAAGTGAACAGTAGGTATCGCATTGCAGCAACCACACTATCATTATTTTTTGTTTTATTTTCAAAATTTGATTTATGTATCTCTTTTGTTTTCTTATTTTTGGACGGATTTTAAAACAACCGAAAATAAAAAAATAGAAGCGTTGTTTCATTCTAGTCCACCTTTTATGTAAATGCATATTATTTATTTATTCATATACATACATATACCGTATATTGTTTATTTTTTCAGTTTTCCGGTTTTGTAGGTTTTTTTTTGGGTGTCCCTTTTAGGTGACACCACTATTGTTATCTCCGAAACTGTAAAAGGAACGAGGACGGTTAAATTAGACAAAAGTGGCAGATTTTAGTATCCATTGAAGGGAATTCCACAGGGTTGCCAAGATAAGAAAATGTAGAAATGCCTAAAACTTATATTATTAATATTTCAAAATATATCAACTTTTGGAAAAAATGTTCAACACAAAAGTTTCAACTTTTCTTCTTCTCTACAAAATGGCGCAATTGTTATCTTCACATGGCTTTTGGCTGTGTTTACATTTTCTTTGATATCTCGGAAACGAGCAAGAATTCGGCATCCCTGTGAACTTACCTTCAATGGACACTAATGGCGATTTCCATTTGTCATCAGTGCCGCACTGAGTGTAGCCGCATCTTTTTCTAAAAGCATGTAACATCTAAGGATAAGGATACATTTTTTTTTGCCCTGATTCGACAAATGGATAACGCTATAAAATCTGCCACTTTTTTCTAATTCAACCGACTTCGTATCTCTTATCGTTTCGGAGATAGCAATAGGTAGTGGTATCAATTAAAACGGACACCCTGTATATATGAAAAAAATTAAAAAAAAAAAACATATAAATAAAACATGGACCCCTAGAAAATCCTTGCGGGGGGGGCTCGGATTTGAAGTTACGCTACTGAACTCAATGTTATCTTGTGCACAATACAATAACAAATTGATAACAAAGTAAATTTTCGTTGGTCTCTTTCCTCTCTCACTTCTTTTCGAAATAAGCACATTTGGATGAAGAAACTAATAATAGACTTCACCTACGAGCGTGCGGTAAAGTGCACTTTACCACACTTATTTGCAAATGGAAAGTGGCGCTTTACCGCATACTATGCGGTAAAGTAACTTTACCGCATAGTGTGCGGTAAAGTTAACTTCACAGCATAGTATGCGGTAAAGTGGACTGCAAAGTGTGCGGTAAAGTTAACGTTACCGCATAGTTTGCGGTAAAGTAGACTTTGGTATTTATGATTAAAAATCCTCTTTTTCAGAAAATGGATTTTTGATCATTTCTTAAATCTAATCTAATTTCATTAATTAATCTGATTCATTAATTAATATTATATTCTACTGTACTATTATAATCATATAATACCTTGGTTACGATAGTCATAAACAGGGTCTTAACTCCCAAGGGAATTAGGGATTTCATAACTCCCGCGCGGGAGTTAAGGATATCATAACTCCCAAGGGAGTTAAGGATTTCCATAACTACCGCTTTTACCTTCAATAGGTAAAACTTTGAGAAAAAATAGAAATTTTGGTTTATGGTTTATTCCTTTATAAAAATAGACAGAATACAGTAAATTCAGTAGGATATAAAATTATCTATGTACCACGGGAATTATCAGGTGTTAATACCCGCAATTGGTGTCCCTCGGGCCAGAGGCCCTCGGGACACAAACGTTGGTGATTTGACAAATGTCAAAGGTAAACCTGTAAAGGTAAAATGAAGGTAGACAACTATTAATGAACGAAAATAATAGGCTCGTTCAGTGAGGTTTCATTAACCACGTTTTTTGATATTTTTATGGAGTATTACTCACATATAGCACACAAAAAAAAATTCAGCGCAATTGGATAAATATTAAAAAAGTTATGCGGCTTTGAATAATAAAACATTATGCCTCAGAAATTCATCGCTTAGAGATGGTATGACGTTATCTCTCGAGTCAAGACGGGCTAAAGGCCGTCACACGAACAACGTGAGAGATGCAGTGACGTCACCGCGTGTTTCAAAACTTCCAAATTTGGAGCTTTTTGATAATTTATTTAAATATGAACAAGGGCTCGGAAAATTATGAAATTTTGCACAACTGCTAAACTCAATACGCTCTTTTAGAATATGTCATAAAAAAAATATGCTGTACGAGCCTATTGGAAAAATATTCTTATTTTTCGCTTTGTAGATAAAACGTTGTACATCACACGTGAGTTTAAACATGACTACAAAACTCGTGTGATTAGAACGACTCGGTCTACGACCTCGTCGTTCTAATCCTTCACACTCGTTATTGTGATCATGCTCATAATCGCACTTGTAATGTTAATAACTATTATTGTACCCTTACTTTTGAAAAACTTATTGGAGTCCTTTTTGAGAAAATAAATCTACCTAAAGAAAAACACGCACTTTACAATATTGCCGCCCTGCATAATCGCTCATGTAATAATTTACTATTCCAATTCACTCTGGCATATTAACATTTTTTATTTGCAATCATATAATATGTAATCTTGTCATTACTGACTTTTTAAAAATTTGGAAGTGAAACTTTACCTGTGTCACTTCCCTCTTCGATTCCCCTCACCGATTTCCCTATTCGACTTCCCTCACCGATTTCCCTCACTCTAATTTATTTACCTTTGCTGGCAACAATGAGAACATGTCAGGTAAAAAACGTCAAAGCAGTGAATGACACATTTTGGCATGTTTGTTTAATTTTTTTAATACATATTAAAAAAATTGATTGACTAATCATAATAAATGATCTGCTTGCAATTAAAATAGTATACAAACCTCGGAGGAAAGTTTTCATTTCTGTCTCGAGATTAATAGTCAATCGAGACGCGAAGCGTCTCGATTGACTATATAAATCTCTCGACAGTAATGAAACACTTCCCTACTCGGTATGTAATATACGACACCTTTTCCACATGTAATTGCGAATATAGCAATTTATATTGCGAATTCATCATTTGATTTTGCGAATATATATCAAATGTAATTGCGAATTAATCAAATATAATTAAGACATAATCAAATATTTTCTCTGTCGACTCTTTCTTGTCATCGTTGATCGGTTGATCTGCATATTATAACACAATTATTGCGAAATTCCATTTTTGTGTCGCCCTTCTTTGACATAAATCTACCTATATTTATGTAAACAAAAGCTTTCTTCAACAACAGACTTAGTTTTTTTAGCAACAACATACAGATGTTGATTGAAAAATTAAAAGGCTCAATTACATCTGATTTATTACTAATTTTATTTGATTTTCCCCAATTACATATGATATATTCGCAATTACACTTAACTATTCTCAATTACATTTGTTGTGTTCGCAATTATATTGAACTTTTCTCAATTGCATTTAATATATTCGCAATATCAAGTGACTATTTTCAATTAGATTTGATTTATTCGCAATATTATTTTACTATTCCTAAAATTAAGTGATATATTCGCAATTACAGATG